GATACGCAGTTGCCGGGCGTTTCTTAGGTCGTTTTTATTTTCCCCGAGCTTTTACGATTATACGCGAGCCCGCGTCTCGCGATAGCACGTTCTTTCGATGGATCTCCTCTCGGACGCCTTCCAGGAAGCCTTCGTGTCGAACAAACGAGAGAATTGTTTGGAAACTTGTTGATAGACGCATGATCTATACGAAAGCCTGATTCTTGTAAAGACCGAGATAAATAAAAGAAAATCTCTATGTTTTCAATGATTTTTAGTGGTATATTGAACAGTGCCCAGATGCCTATTGATTTTCATAAAATATATACATTTTTATTAGATATCAATAATATTTATAATGTCTTTTGAAAAAAGTAGATCACATCTTCGTGACTTATTCTATCTTAAAATTCATTTGTTGTACGCACATTTTCCGACGTGATAACAATACTTCTTTCTCGTTGTTTTTCAATTACTAATTCTTTACGGGACTGTAGCGTATAATTTTCTTGCATTACCGAGACTGCGATAATGAAAAGTTGCATGAATTGTAACGCCGCAGGACTGACCTAAGAGGGGCGAGAATGAAAAGGGAAGAAATGAAAAACAACGAGAAAACGGGAAGCATAATTAGCAGCTGTGGCGCGGACTGCCTGGAGTTCTTGAATTAAACAGTAATTAAAAGTTGTACAAATATGAAGGAACCGCTGGCGGACTTAAGTTAGAGCCTGATAAAGTGTCCGGCGTCTTCCGCAAAGTCCGACGAAAACAGAGTGCCAGCGAAGTAATTAAAAATCGTTTTAACGTCCTCGCTTTCTTTTTCGCGGGCGAGCTCAAGGTTTATGGGGGAAATAAAGCGGACAGTCCAACTTTCTTTTCACTGATCGAACTGCGTTCCGTTGGGAGATCGAGCAGTTCAGCTTGTGTCGTAATCATCGGTTGATAAATAATAATTGTTTAATGATCATGGCATCAACGATTATTCAGCGTATTGGCGAGAAAACGTTTGCTACCGTGTATCATCGGTTCCGTGTAGTTTAACGAGTCTGATGACGTCTACCTAGTGATACAGCTGCACGTGATTATTCTATCGTCCGTATAAACGGTCCGGCATGATGGATCGTTCGATATCACACGTCGTATGTTTACCAAGTTGCCCGGTGTTCCGCCTTCACCGCCCGATATTATCCAATTTTCGGTTCTGCTCCGTCACGGCGGAATATTTCTTCCCGAAACTTCGCTGTACACACGTTCGAGGAACTATCACCAGTGAAATGCAAATTATAATAAGGCAACCCTGGCCCGGAAATTAACAGCCATGCTTCATTCACGTTGTCGTCGAAAATTAGTTTCGAAATAATTTTCCGGAATACCGATGACACATTTTCGTTGCGAATATGCGGAACGCCACGATGGGAAATTATAAAAGTTACTATGTCACCATGATAATGGTAATGCATTACCATTATTGTAACAATAAATATCGCGTTTGGTACTAGCACTCGGTGACGGACTGTGTCCTGTTGGATAAATATTTATTCGATACAGTTCGAATAATGCTCGGCTCTGTCGACAATAAACAAGCGAATCAAATTGATTTTCAGATCACAGGATGTCAAAGATTTATTTAATTCGTTTAAAAGTTCCACTCGGTGAAAGAATAATAATGTAACTAGTAAAATAACAGCTGAAGCAGAAGTATAATGCGTGAATGAAGTTCAAAGGCTACAAAATTCCTGTTCTAAGAAGTTTGATACTTTCCAAGAATACTCTGAGAAACTTTATCAAGCAACGTAGAGGGTGAAATTTAGAAATTAATTAGCTTCGTTTCTTAATTCATGTATATTCTTCTAATCAGTTAGTAGAATTATTTCCAAGTGGGAAACTTTCGAGCGCAAAAGGTTAAACTCGTTCAGATTTTCGTTCCAAAGGATGGCGTTTCGAAATTCCCGTGCCGCGACGGGAGATGCCGCGCGTGCTCGCGTCGATAGGTCGAGCCGACGACCGAACGCCTCCGCACAAAAGAGCTTTTTATTGCCGGCCGCAAATTTCCACGTTATTTAGCCGTCGCCTTTATCCGGTCGCGACCGCTATCCCCGGGCAACGGTGCGAAACGATTAAACAAAAACCGTCCGCGGAACAATACCAGAAAGACAATGAGCGTGTTCTCGGCGAAAGTGTATTCAACCGGTAGTTAATTTCCTGTCGCGGTGACACCGTTCGGTTCGGATAAGTTCCGGTGTAAAGCGGCGAGCACACCGTACCGAGGCGACGCCACTCGCGCTGAAAAGAACATAAATCACGAAAGATTAAATGGAACATTGCGCCGCGGCCTACGGACCTGTTGTCTGTCGGTCGCAGCTAGAGCCCATTGTTCCCCAGGCATATTTAAAATTCACCCGATGACACTATGCGTCGTGTTCGTACACGAGTTCGGTAATTTATTGCGTTGCTCGCCGGTTTCCAACGTTATTTCAGCGAATATTATTTATCAGCGCTTTGTAACTGGAATATTACTGTTAGGGATGGGCTGCAGGTATTTTATGGACTTATAGCTGAATTTGTATAGACTAAGAAATCACTAGAGAGACGGTTTTAACCCTTTGTGGACGAACGTCGACAATTCGCGAGATAAAATTTTCATGTTTCGAAGAATAAGTTGCAAACAAATGATTGAATTACTCAGACGCCAAGAGATCAGCACGTAGTTTCTGTTTTTCCCATTTTTTCAGTAATTGATATATAATTTGGCTTCATCTGAAGATTTCGTATATTTCAAAGAATCTTCGTCCGCAAAGGGTTAATCTTGATCTATCAAGATTGAACGATTATTGAATGTATGAAGTGAATATTTATTTGTCGCTGATTAGAGGTCGAAGATGTCTAGAATGTTCACCGTTGAACGGTGGATATTAGTCATTTGTCAATGAGGTGGCACAAGTTTCCAGCTTACCGAACAATCGTTGACATAACAGAAATCACCGGAGGCAGAGGTTGGTACCCAAAGATGTTCCCCATTGACTGCACCCGGACCCCAATCAGGAGTCGATCGAGGTTCACGGTGGCCGCCGCTCGTTCCGCCCTCCTCTCTCCCTCTGAAACCGCAAGACACTCGATTACGGGGTGACACATCGACATAGATACTGAGATAGTGGAAGGGTGACACTTGCAGCTGACGTTAATTCCTCTGCAGAAATTCCATTAGACTATGGAGGACGCGTACCTTCGAGATTAACCTGTTAACCAGTATTGGCGAGTATACTAATCATTTGTCTTGATCCCTACCTGACTTCTGGTTTCCCAATTCAGTCACCTAGGGTGCAATCACGCTGTAACATCCGTAGGATTCTAAATTGACTTGTAATTACCTTTGTTATAGAATAAATTGAATCAAATGGAAAAATCGACCAGTTAACAGGTTAAGACTCTCGCAAATTAATGCGAACAAATGTCCATTAACACTGGAACTACCGAGTAGCAAAGTTGACCGTTCTGTATTATCTTAGAAAATTTATAAAAATACATTTACTGAGATTTCACTTTGCTTGTAATCAAGATTCTGTTCACCTAAATTAATTCATTGAATAATTTCTCAGAAAATCATCAGCGCCTTCTCAATAATTGTGAAGGAGAAATGCTTCATTCTGATTCATCCGGTAGTTCTAGTGTTAATCTATAATTTCTTGTTCTTTCGAAACAAAGTATGCACCATGATTAATTTTGCATCGGTTCGAGGGTTCCTTTAGCGACAGCTGAGAGCGCGAACCCGCTGCTCTAAGCCGATTTGGAAAATTGGGGAACGCGTTGTCGCTGCGGGCTTGAATTCATGCAGAAGCGAACGAAACGAGCAACCGACTCGTTGCGCGTCGAATCAAGCTCCTGAACAATGAACGGGGTGGAAGCTTTCGACATTTGCAACGCGGTAACGCTCGCGCCGATTCGTTAGGCCGCGGACGCTCATGCTGATTCACGCGTTGCTTGATTAATTTACACAAACGGGAATTCATTATCCTCTATTAAACACGGTTAGATTCAGTGGTTACGAAGATAATATGGTTCGCGATCATTACGATCGGAGTCTGTGTCAGCACAATTAGGTTCGAATTAAAATGATTCGGAAGCTGCCGCTGCTATCGCTCGTCCACCATTTTCTCATCTCGTTTCCCCTGCTAATTTGCTGTTCATCAGTACGATTATGTGTAACCAATCGGAACTACGAACAAAACGCGTATGGTAGACAGACAATACTATCCTCTGAACATACTCCAAAGTATTCGATCGACTAAACGATACGCGACGAAAATTCCTCGATCGTCGAACGAAGAGAACGTCTTTCAATTGCGGACAATGACGTAGCTTGCATTTCCATAAACTGTGTTCGCGATCTAGGAAGAGCGTGGAACGTCCAAGAATATCTCGGATCCAGTGGACCCTCAGTATTTCAGAGAGATGCGGGAAGCAGAAAGGGACTAGATGTCATCTCGCGAAGGAAAAAGAGAGAGGAAGAGAGAAGGAGAGCCGGGCCTCGTGAAAGATTCAAGGACACTTTAAATTTCAGAGACGCTGCCGGAACATAATGCGCGCCGCGGCGTGCAACTTTAATGACAAAAGTCATCCTCCGGTCGGCCCGTGTCCCTTTGGACGATTATTTAAAAATTGTAGGCTGCTTTGGCAAAGCTTTGTACCTGCTTTCTGCATAATTAGCCCGTCGGAAATTACCGGATATCTGGGTCAAACACGATCCCGGGAGACGGAAAGCGGAATGACGTTGCCACCGTTGCGCCCGCGGATATATCTGTCTTCGGATCGGATCATCTCAACTTCGGAACTTGAGAGTTCCGACAAACAAACACGGTACAATAACGCAGAATCTTCTTTCTCGGATCTTAGCAAATTAGCGAATTGAAGAATGGAAGTCGTACGACGATCTCGAAGGTCTCTCGCGCGAGATCATTATCATATGGACGTCGTGATTTCAACGAAACGATGATTAATTTGTGAATCGGTAACTAGAAATGAATATTTATGGCGTAATATTAATGTGGATAAGAATAATTTAAGAGCGGGAGAGAGTTACAAGACGACTCCATTTTGGCAAACGCGGAGACTCCGGGAAATTTATGAACACACGTTGGAAGATCGATCGATTCGCAATTTTTTCGGTCCGATTGCGATCGGCAATCCGATCGAATTGATTTCATGAAGAATTGGCTCCCGTGGAAGAGCGCCCGAACGAGACAGATGGGAGCAATTAACAACGGAAGTTGGCAGTATTGTCGGGAACGATTCGCTTGTTCCGGTTTCGATGCTGATTTTTAATCCGATCCCGTGGAAAGTGTGACAAATAAAATTTATGAAACATTGATTCCGCCGGGACGCGATACAGAGGCGGAGTGGACGCGTTTAATTAATAATGAAAGAACGATCTGCGAGCAAAAACTTGTTGCGAGGTTGCGACACGATACTCCGCGCCGCAGGATTTATTCGAACCGTTCAAGCATTTGGGATGCGCCCGGAGAATGTTTAAATAACGTTCAACGCGGAAAGACTTTTGAAAGGAGACCGAGCTTTTTCATTCGCGATCCCGGCTCCATAGAAATTTAAAAACTCGCGTTCCATGTAAAGTAAACACCGGCGCATCCTTCTAATTAATTATAATTAAATTCAGCTACTCTTTAACGACGCTAGTGAACATGATATCTCAATAGCCGCGTCGTTGGCATGCTCGCGAAATATTTAATTAAACGGAAATATTTCGGTCACACAGTATCGGAGCGTCGCAAAGGAAATATTTTTCAAAGCAGTCTACAATTATCCACGGTGTATCGCCGAGGAAGAATGTAATCTATGTATTAAGTAACTCCACGGCAAACGCCGGTTTTATTAGCTTCTGGGCAAACAATTTAAAACTTCCCTCAAAACCAAAGTAAGTAGCTCCATCAGGAAGCCCCGCTACATGCGCGCGCGGGATTGAACCGTGCGGCTTAATCAGCCAACTCGAATTTCGGCGGGGAACTTTCAAGTTAATCCGCAGTGCATTACAGGGTATCATTGTTGAAACTTAAGGAACTCGTTAAATTTCGATAGCGAGAGAGACGTTGCACAAATTTCATAATACCGAGAGCGATTTTATCCTCGACAAATTACTGGGAGTTCAAAGCTATTATGTCGTTCGTGAGTTTCCCGGCGGAGTTCACGCTACTTAAAGAATTAATCCTCTCTTAACGGGAAGATTCGTTTCATTAATTTTCCACTGAAGCTCCGCCACTCATACACAAAACGATACAGCTTGAGAGAATGAATTATCAGAATTCATTTTGTCTCGTCTTACGCAACGCTCTAAGACAGTCTTATACAAGTTCTCAACGTTTTAACCTCTCGGATCAGATTTGCCTTAACAAGTTCGTCGCGTAACGAGTTGGTCACGTAAAATTAGCTTATTAATAATGAACAGCTTCGCGGCGGTTAACGATTCACGAGAATCCCCAGGCGGTTACGCGGTAGTAATACCGAAACCTGAAAATTTCATTTGGCAATAGACCGTGCTGTCACGGACCACTCCGCCGCTGTACAGGCGTTTCGAGATCTTTCAATATTCAAAAGCCGATCCCGCGGCTGCCATTCGAATCCGGCTCGTTTATCAAATCCATCGTCGAACGAATTCTTAACGAGCGTGAAGATCAGTCTGACAAGCTCTCTTTACAACGAGTGAGACTAGTGGCGAAGATCTCTAGCTCGATTGATTAAAAATCAACGTTATTCGTTGCGTATAACGTTGAAACGACAGATTATTTTGCTACTATTTACGCTTCGCTATTAAACGAATACGACGACTTCAGGGCCTTGATTATCCACATTGTCTATTAAACACCTCAATCGAACTGGATAATTGAAGTTCCACAGTACTCGCAATAAACAAAAAATTTTCCTTGCATCATTGGCGATTATTAATAGTAAGATAACCCTATCGAGGATAATCCCGAAGAAAATCATACGGCAAGGGGTTAAACCCGGGCACTTTCCGTTAACGAACGACGCACCCGCTCGGCCCGACAAAGTGGAAATTATTCGCTCGCGTGCGTGATAAACGGCCGGCCTTTGTGCTCGTTTCAATGATCATTTTGTCAACGTTCTCCCATAACGCTGCGCCCGTTCCGTGAAACTCGTAAAAATATCATCGTCGCGATCACCTGCGCGACGCGACGAGTAATTCGAAACCCTTGCCCCTTCCGCGAGCTCCAGTTGCACGAAAAAACAAAACAGAACTGAATCGCGGTACTTTAATTCTTCATCTTCCGCATCAGGGAAATATCGTGTTCCGGTGAAATCTCGGAGAAGCTCGAACCCGACGGAATTCGCGACAAGCTTTCAAGTGGACGGATTAATCGAGTTCACAGCTGTTACGACTTTGCATTCGTCCGAATAAAATCGTCGATACGGAGCGTAGCTTTTTGCGTAACGGAAGAAAGTGACGGCGCGGTTGAAAATAATCAATTCTAATTTTAATAGCGTAGAGCTCGCAATACACCGAACAAGAAGATAGGATTTCTGAAAGGACAATGGAAGGATTATACTATAGAGAAACTACAGGACCGTGACCGTACGAGAAAGAGACGATGAAAGCAATTACTTTCATCATTATTATTGTAATCAGCGCTTAAGATGGTTTCCATATTCATGCCCGACGGTACAGAATGGTGTAATGAATTATTATCCCCAGCTAATTAATCTGCATACCGCCTCCAGTCAATTAGACTATGCAGAATGGAAAATAAATCCGGCGAAGCTTGCGTAACGCATTGATCGCGCGCGTAATTAACTCCAGAGACGAAAAGCCGCTTTCTTCGACGGCGCCCGGCGCGAAGAATAATTCTCGGACGCGTGATAGAACGGCGTGTGACGTTCCATGAAGTCGGAAATCAATTTTTCGTTTTATTCCCCGCGACGCGCGCCGAAGCGGAATCTTTTCTCGGGATCGGCGTTTAACGGGTTAAATACGCCCGGGGACAAGAAACGTTAGGTCACCCTCCAGAATATTTTACGCGTACTAAAGGATTCTTTATCGAATAATTCCGTAACCCTGTAAAATCGTAAATTCAACGATAATCCCTGAAAATTCCATTGGAAATTTTGTAAGATATAGTGAAATGGTAGTGGACACACGAGACAGGATGTTGAAAACTATGTTTGCGGTATCAGGGACATCTTCGTGACCTTTTACGAGAATCAAGAAAACGTGTTTTCCGAAAATTGTATTTTCTTTTTGTTGTTCTGGTGCACGTGACCCGTCGGCGCAACGTGAAAGACCGTCGGATGCAGCGTCGTCGCCGATCATGCGATTTTTCTCGTTGATCCAGGGCTGATCCAAGAAAGGAAGGAAGAAAAAGAGAAGAAAGCCTTTGAAAGGGAAGGAAGAGCGAAGGGAAGCGTATCGCGAGAGGGAACGCGAGGTGGCCTGAAGATTTTACTTTATCGGTGAAACGTGTTCGCCGGTCTGGTTTTTATGAGCTCTCACGTGGGCTTTTTATAACGCGAAAAATGGATAAGAGTATCGACAGTTTGTAACACACAATATCAAGTAGGATGCGAAAGTGGAACGCCGGAAAATTGCTGAAACTTGCCAGTGTCTTCGACGAAAGTTCGATTATCCGATACGTGCTCGCGTTAGCGTTGCGCGGAGAAAAAGTGGTCGATGGGCATCTATTCAATCGGCTCGCTTCTGTTCCAACAATTCCGGGAAAAGGTGTCGTTCGGTTTCCGTGCGAACTCGTGAACCCGACGAACCAACACGATGGACTTATTGTTTTAAAACAAAGTGCACGAATTGTAGTTCGGTACAGCGTTTGAAGACGCTCGTATCGATCACTGTTATCTGTTCGTAATTTCTGTCTAGAGATCGTAAATCCAGGCTAATTTATTTTTCATTCATTTTTAACATGGGATTGATAATATGCAGCGAAATAAAGACTCGGAACACAACGCAAAAATACGAAATTCCTCACGGATCCTTCACCGAGAAACTCGCTGGAATTGATTATTAATAACCGAAAGATAAGGCGGAGAAATTTTCAGGGCTGCCGGCTAAACAAAAAGAATTTGAAAGCGACCAATTAAGCGACTCGTCCGTATGATTCCGCGCAATTCTGCGAAAATACCCACTTTCATCCACGAGCCGGTGTGTCGAGTTCTCCACTCATCCCGGTGCCCGTAATTCGATTGCGAGTCTTCGTTATCCGAGAAATAACCCGAAAATAGCACCGATCGAAGGTGTGAAACGACGAGTAGGGAAGGTCCCTCTGTGCTTCACGATCCAATCTTTAACTCTTCGTGTCTCGAAGTTACTTTGAAGTACCATTTTCATTAAAATGTTCTTACGCAGCAAGTAGGGAAGCAAGCAAAGGTATGAGATAAATAATACGTCGTCCAAGAGTTAATATTGTTAATGGCCTGTCAAGGAATTCCTAGAACGCATTTCTTTCTGAACTTCTTTAATACTTTTCCAACGATGAGTTCCGGCTGGGAACGAGTTCCCGAAGTTCCGGGAATTCCGTCACGCTCCGGTTGGTCCCAACGAAAATTGACGAAACAGCAAAGTTTCGCAGTAGACCAGACCTAAAGTGAAATTTAATCTCTCGCGTAACCCCAGCGCGACGGTTGATTCCGAAACGATTACCGCTGATTTCATTATATCTGCATGAAACTGATGCGAGAACTTGGTTATGAACGAATGACTGGGTCGACCCGAATGTTGAACCGAATTTGAAACGGTTTCGAATTCGAGGAAGTGATGGATGGTGTGCGGAAGTGTCAATGATGTAGACACTACTGTTTAACGATTGCACTAACGAATGGAACAAAATTTCTCATTGCTGAACTCCTCTTTTACAAATGTTGAGAAGATGACAGATGCTTCTATGATAGATTGCTGATGAAACTGATTTGAACAAACTGAATTACTAATCAATTGAACTCTCAATAGATGCGCTCTTACTTCTGCAGAAACATTTGAAAAAGACAACCGCGCTGTTCGGTAGTTCTACTGTGTACTCGACTGTAACGACGCAAGTTTGCGTCGTTTAGAAAATACTGCAAATGTTACGCTTCAGAAAAAAGTTTCTGCAATGGTCGTGCATACAGGAGAAAGATTATATTCACTTTTTCGTTTGGGAGACAGCACGACATTACGAAGCAGCAGCGCAACTTGTAATGCAGGGGCAAAAGGTGATCGCAAGCATCCAGCAAGTTAGTGCGGCATCGTAAAAGAGATAAAAGTTGCGGGACTCGAGTTTTGATAAGGCCCAGACGACAATAATAAAGTCACTTTATCTTCGTACTGCGTCCGGAGGAGAAAAATCGTTAAATGAAAGTCTCCCCAAGCAGAACGAAGACGTACAGGACGTGCAGGGCGTAGAACACGACACACGACATTTCGCGACGGACGTGAGCGTCCGTATAGATGGCCAACGGCTTGTGAAACTGCTGAGTTACAGCATAGTAACATTTACACGGCGATATCTGAATAAAAGTTCAAACCTGTTACCCAGCCATTACGACGGAAAAATGAATAACGCAACACCTTTAACTGAATTTCAAAGTGTCTAGTTACCGTGATCCGACACCACGGTATCACAGTATCTCCGCTAATGATTTATGAATAGAAAAGAGCTGTGAACCGAAGAAATGAAGAAATTTAACTGAATTTCAAAGCCTCGAGCTAACGAGATTCATAATGTTCCCACTGACGATTTATCGATAGAAAAGAACCGCGACGCGCGAAAAATCATTACAGCGGATAAGATGCGAAGAAGAAAGGCTGCACCATGAATTCCAACTAATGGATTTGTTGCATAAGCTGTCCTCGGCGAGGGAAGAATGTACGTATTACAAAACGTGACGCGGAAAAATGATGAAGACTGGGAGCCCGGGGTCGAGCGAATTCCGTTTAATCCGCGGGTATCGCGTCTCCGTGTAACAACAGTAATAAAAATCTCGTTATCCGACTTCGCCGGGCTTCCGGCGAGATGGAATTTTCGTTTCAGATGCTGAACGCTTAACTAACTTCGGTCACAATGGAACCCCGCCGCTGCGCAGCGCCGGTGCGCCTCAATTAGACGCGTCCGAGTTCTAATCAACTTCTCTCTTGAATCATTGACGTCTTAATCTTCTCGAAATAGAATAGTACGGACGGGCAGGGGAGGCCGCGCGAATTCCGCCGGGCACAAAGGACCGGCCGATATCGGAACCTGTAAACGTAGCGGCAGTAAAATGAAATTGACTTCGATTAAACTCCGCGTATGAACTCTCGCGAGGGTGAAACCCGACGGACCCCGACACTTTGCGAGGGGAACTTGTCGCCTCCCTTTCCATGCGATTCGTTAGCGGAATAAAAAGCAGCAACGTCCTCGGAAAGTTCACGTCGCCAGATCAGGAAGTTCACGTGTCGCGTGAAAAAGTTGGAAGCTTTTGATCGGACCCCGATTCAAAAGGCGCACTTCCTTTGAAACACGACAAACTAGATATTCGAAATAAACGGGGAAAAGGGCAAAGATTAAAGGGAACGTAACTGTGCAATTATGATTTGTATAATTGCGCTTTTCGCCTTTTCCCCTGTTTATTTTTTCAGTTGCTCCGTAGTTCCTTCTCATTTGTGTGCCGCAGAAGTATAATTATGTCCCGTTTAAAAGCGATACCTCGGGGCTACGTATTCCTAGTATTTCATGCATGAAAAATCGAAGAAATTCGCAAAGAGAGGCGACCGTCTAGAAACGCGAGTGTAGGGAACTCTGAAAGCTTCTTTCTCGATATCCTGCGTTTGAAACTGGCTACACCGCGGTGTCCTTACGACGAATTGAACGATCGATTTCCAATTCTGGACGTATACAAAACAGCTGTTCTAAAAGGGCAGGACGAAATCATAAAGAAACCGGTATTCCTTTCGTAGAATCGTGTACAACAACAAATATACGATCGTCTTTCGCCGTTTTATGCCCGAGTTCAGGTAATTATCGAGGAACGAAAGCGAACTTCAAAAGATTCCACGTAAAACAGATTTCCTTCGAGCTTCTCAGTCTTCGTTTAAAGACGTTAAAAGTCCAACAAGAACCCAAACAATTAAATAGAACCGACTACTTCGACTCAGAAAATCCAATATTTTCGTTTGCGTTTCGAACTCTAAGAAAATGTTACTCGAAGATCGAGTTGATTAATATTTGCGAGAATACCTACGAGCGCATCCTCGCCGCGGATCTTAGTTACACATTCCAGTTCGCTCGTGTCTCGGGACACGTTAAAATTAATCACATCTTCGAGCAAACCGCCGCGAGTGTTGCATCACGATAAACGTGCAGCGCGTCACCTAGATGCAATTAGCATGCGGTACCGTACGATCATCCTTATCCTCGCGACTTTCTCGAGCTTAGCCTTTGAAAACACGGCGAACAAGTGTGTACGTACGCGTGTCTCGTACCGCTTCAATCGTCGAGACAACAACAAACAGACAACCAACAACAACGACACATAAACAGCAAAACGTAGGAAACTAAAAGTAAAACAAGAAAAAGAAATCAATAACGAAGAGCAACACCAAAGCAGACCCAGAGAAATCGAGCCAGAAGCGTTCCGAACGGAATCGAGGCAGATATAATAGGCCTCTCGCGTTTGTGCCGACTAGCTGCAAGCTAAAAGTGCAGAAGGGCAAGGGGAAACGTTCACTTTACGCTCGGATTTCCTTATTAGCCGAATGGCGTAACAAAGAACGCAAGCGAAACAGAATGCGTCGAACTAATGTAAATAAGAAACTGACCGTATTCTATTTCATTTGCGTTCTTTGTTAACAAGGACCTATCAAAACCGAGGCATCACTGCTGCTATAACTACCCAACTGAGCATTGCGAGTGAACGCTTCGCCTTGCCCCTGTGCAGTTTTACCTTCTTGTTAGTCGGCACAGACGTGAGAGGCGTAGTCCCGGCGAACACTGAAACAATCGAAAGTATTCGGGACAAGGAACTTGTCCCATTCACCAGACGTACCCACCCTCTTGTAGGTCTTGCCTCGGTGCCCGGCAGGAGAGCCGTGTACCTCGTTTGCGCCTCGGTGGGCAGGACGATATCGACACTCTTCGAGCGTATGCTCTGTTGAGGCACGGCCAACGTGTCCTCGTTCTCCCCCTTGCCGTTCTTGTTATTGAAGCAGGAGTCGACGGACGCGGCGCGGTCCCGCTTCAGCTCCGGAACCGTCAGGAAGATATCTCTGACCACGAACTTGCACTTGCTCGCCTCGACGTTATCGTCGTCCTCATCTTCGTCCTCGTCATCCGGTTTATCCTCGTCTTCCGTCGAGCTGACCACCGTGGGTAGTTCGATGGGGTACGAGGTCAGAGCTTCTTGGCGAGCCAATTTCGGGGAGGCGATAGACCTTCTGCGCTCTCTGCCCGGAAACAGGCCGCCCCTGATCTCGCTGGTATCGGCGTTCTCTTGCAGAACTTCCGGCACGATCTCCGGAACCACGGTTGAAGGAGCAGTGGGTTCGTCGCTGGGTGTCTCGTCGAAGGCGAGCTTCTCGGTGAAGGTGGTCAAAGTGACGCGTATCTCGGGGCTACCTTCGCTCCTCTGATCCAGCTCGGAGTCTTCGTCGTCCGAAGTATCTCCCGCTTCGTCGGGCACATCGTCTTCCCTGGACGACGGGTCCTCGTCGTCCCTGCTCGAGTACAGGCTCTTGTGTTCCTCGACGCAGGCACAGTGGTAGCAGCCGGACACCTGGATCGTCGGTGTGTCCGGCCGACGAATGCCGCCCAGGGACTGCTGCCCGCTAGGCAAGCCATAGACTCTTTCGGAGACGTCGAAACTCTTGGACCTCTGACCGCTCTGCAGCTGCGGCACCCTAAGCGTGGCGGAGCCGGGTCTCCTCCGTGAAGAATCCTGCGACCTGGCTGGCGAGCACGAGGACGATGAGGAAGAGGTCGTTCTCGGGGATCTCGAGTCCCTGACGTCGTCATGTCGCTTAGCTTCCAGCTGGATCTCGTCGAAAGACGCCGACCGAACCTGCTTCGGCACCTCCAGACTCGACTGGGACTTCATCTCGGCTCCCGTCGGGGTGCGCGACCTCTTGAACGTCGAACGCAACCTCTGCATTCTCACTTGGCAGCTATCTATTCAGGTTGAACCCGTTTCTATTCAGAGACAGGCCGAATCTCTTCTCCGTCCGATGCGATTGAAGGCCTTCCTCCAGCTCTTCCTCCTCTTCTTCCTCCTCAGTGTCGACCACGCCGATCGATCCTCGATCCTCGTACTCCTGAACGATCGGAGTCTCCACCGGAAGCTCGGTCACCGCGCTACACCTCGAGGAAGCCGACTCGAGCTGCCCGAGACCGCACCCTTCCTCCACCTTCGACTTGACGGCCGGTCTGCAGCCCATCATAAGTAGCCTCGGCGTTCAGTCTCGCGGCTCCCGGGCCTTCGATCTTTAACCTTCGACGCCTTTTACTCTTCTTCTACGAAGGGAGCTCTTCGTCCGATGTTTCTCGACTCTTACCGTAAGAATGAAGGACTGGAGTATTATTAAAGAGACCTTGGTTGATCTCGTCAAGTTCTTGGAATCCTTTGATTGTCTTCACCGCGCAACGGATTGTCCGATTCACACTGTCCGCACTCGAGAACACATTTCCTCAACGTTTCACCGTGATCATCTTCGAAGTCTATGAACGTTTCTCTTCCTACTCGATGAACGCACGATTAAGGGACGCGACACTGTCCCCGGAGTATCGGAAGCCGCCCGAGTCACCGTAACTCAGATCACGCGGATTAATTAGCGCCTCCGATCCACGAGACGTGACGCAGACACCGATACCTGGGTTCTCGTACGTGTGCCCAACGACAGAGGCCTGGGATCCGTTCGCTAAAATTACATTCCGATCCGGGACACATCCGACGCCACGTGGAGGCGACTCGTCCCCCATCCGGCAGAATTTGCAATTTAAGCTCCTTTCCCCGGCCGACGGAATTTCCTCATCACCGGCCCGAACGACCTCGCGCTATCGCAAATTAAACGCGCCGCCACCCGGGGCGCGCGAAAACGCGAAATTTATTCGGGGCTGCCCTCCTGGATCGCCGCGCCGCACGGCTTCTTGCAATTTTATCCGGCGTGCAACACGTGGGACCGTCCGCGTCTTCTCGCGTGCACGCGTCTTCCAACGGTCCAACGAAATTTATCCCTTCGTTCGGTTTTCCGATGGAAATATTCGAGCAATTACGAGATGCTAAGCTGTCTACGCGTCTCGTCGCTAGTCTTTAACAACAACAAACAGCCCCGAGGTAGGATCGACGTTTGAACCACCGACTACCCTCCTCGACTCCCGCTGCAGATCCTTCAAAGGCAATCTCTCGCGTTTACCGACGACCGTCGCCCTCAAAGGACTAGAATTATCCTCCTCCCAGTTCAACAGTCATCGCTGAACTCGTTAACGAGCGTTAATAGACGGCCGAACATCCCAAGGAGCGATGAAGCGGATAAGCGGTCATAAACAGCTGATCGAGACGTCTCGATACGCTCGGCCGTACCTCCCCTCGGACTCCGACGGGCTAATTAGACGGAATCAGGGTAATTAGTCGAGCTATCCTCGGAATCTCCGACTATCACCGGCTGTTCCGACGTCACGGGATGTCCGTTTGTAAACAGTTGATTTAATCTCGCTGGATGTAGGTACTGTTCCGTACCGCGGAGGGTTGACGGACCGGCTGATTGGCCAGCGACGCGTGAACCATAGTCGAAGGTCACGCGTCACCGTCCGCTAGGAACCGTCGACGACCTCGGTGAACCTCGACGCACGTGATGCCGTCGGACGAAGCTCCGACTCGCTTCGCTTTCGCCTCACTTTCCCTCTGTCCGGCGGTCTCTCTCGTAGGCTCTCTCCTCTCGCGCGACTACCAGCATCGATCGGCGGGCAGGCCGTTCTCTCTGGCTCTGTAACTTAATTTCTCGCTGAGACGCGCGGCAATCTCGTCGAATCGAAATCCCATGGAACACGGCCGGCCCACGACCTCTCTCGAACTACAGAGACGCGAGAATGTCCTCAGGTGATCTCCATTTCACCGGCGTCGGAGTTCCGCCGGCTCGCTCGGACCTCCCTGCTAGATTACCCGTTTCACCGCTATGAACCTATGTACGCGTTCAGCGGAGTCTATCTGCAAAACTCGCCAGCGTAAACTATGAACATGTATGTATTCGTAGATCTTTCCAATGTCTCCGGTGCCACAGTTATCAGTGATCGTCGCTACTTCCGCCTCGCACGAGCAATCGATAGGCTTAACACCAGCGAAAAAATATTCCCAATCGCAACTTCGAGTACTTAGCACTCAAAGCGTTGCCCTCCGACCCGCGTGCCATCGAACGTGTCCAAATGAAAACATTGCAAGCGTCGACCCGTTAAACGTTCGCCTCGGAAAATCACGATGCCCACAGTCCAGGAATCCGATCTCCCTCTGTTGCACCAGCCCCGACAGCCAGAATGTAGTTAGCCACGAGAATAAGCGTCCGCGAGAAATCGTTGTCAACCGATCATCGGACCGGTCCAGTCCTCGTGATGCGTGCACGCGGACCGTTCGACGGATCTCTGTCCTCCGCGTCGCGGTATCTAACCGTATCCGGCGGTATCCGGCCGAGGTTTCTACCGTTTTCCTTCGGGCAACACACTTATTTTCCGCGTTCGCTGTTCGTTTTTCATTTCTCCCCCGCGGTGAACCACGAGGAAGGCACGGTGAGGCGCGGTGCTGGAGTCGGGGTGGCGAGAGCGAGCGGGAGAGGGAGAGAAAGACAGACAGAGAGAGAAAGAGAGGAGACCGCGGAACAAACGAGTACGCGTGACGTGCCGTGACAGGGTAGACTGGTCGGACTAGTGACCAGGGCTCGGCAGTGCCGGATGCCGCGAGACCTGGCAGTGGGGGTTAATGCTGGCCCCTCTTCTCCCTCTAACCGCGCCGTCGGTTCACCCTCTTGCTCTCGCGCCCTCCTAGTCCCCGTCGGTCAGACATGCGCCCTCCGCGCGGTCTCTCTCGCGTCTGTGCTCCCGTGAACACACCGACACGCACGAACGGAGGGAACACAGACGCCGCGGACGGCGAATTTGAGATTGCGCGGCCGAATATCGGGGAAAACGTGTGACGCAGGAAGGGCAGACACGTGTAGAGTCTACCTACCCCTCCGCTCCTTTCTTTCCTGTCCTCTCTTTCCAGCGGACGCGCGACATGCGGATACTCCGCCACCGTAATGCTCCTCCATCCTTTTTACCCTTACGACCCACCCCCAGGTCCATTGCCTCCCTACCAGTAGTTCTTCTTTTTCCTTCGTTTCTTGCCGCCCTTCCCCACCCTCGACGCCGCCACACTTTCCAACCGCGGACCCGTGTTTTTGTTTGCCGCGGGGAATTTCTGACGACGCTCTCTTCCAGATACCTCGTGCCCGCCGATAAGGGTTGAGAGCCGGCCGGTTCGAATCTCTGAGTCCGGGATGTGGGAATGGGCAAACGTGCAGTTTTTGCTGTTTACTTGGCAGTGTTTTGTATGAACGGTTGATAGTCGATCGGACAGGCTTCGTTCTTGGTTAGATGTTGGATTATTTTGATAGGCTGAAGCTTTAGGAGAAGATTGTAGTGAAGTTGTTTGAGATTAAGAGAAGTAGACTGAAGATTTATCCGGGAATGCTTTGCATTGTTTCCGTGGGCAATCTTCAAATGGAATTTTGAGCGTCTTAATCGAAAGTTTCTTTTGTGTTTGTGATGTTTGTATACTTGCGTGCATCGTGGAGGTGCAGGATTTAGAGTTTCAGTGACGAAGGATTGGAATGTGTCGGATAGTGTCCCAGAAGTTGTTACATTATGATTTTAATCTATCGCAAATGGGCTCCACTTGTATAAATGATTGTAAAAGACGTTTTAAGTGCGGAGAAACCAATGGAGAGCGTGTAAGAAAGCATCGGCGTTCTTCGATGCTCGCGGCAAGTGGAAAGAGTAAGGCAATTGTCAGACGCGCCGGCCGGGCTGCGCTCAATCATAGCACGAGTGTTCGCGATGTGTCTGAGTAAACGCACAAAATTCTGTTCCATCCCGGTGATGTATTTTTCATGAGCGATCGATATCTTTTTCATTGCGCTGCGATTTCCGCTTCATTTCCCACCGACAGAGCGCAATAAATTGCGAAAAATCGTATAATTCTCGTTTCATTCGAAACGGATATCGATTTCATACAACCGTTTAACGATGCGAAGTTATTTGAGATATCTGAATGGGATACTAAGAGAAATAGCTGCTTAAAAAATATAGCAAAATGAATATCTATTATCACTGAACAGCAGGTATTTACAGTCTGGTAAAAATTCTGAATAAAAGAGAAACTTGAGCGCATTAGATTATCGAGATAAAATTCATATCACCTGAATCCTCGTGGCGAAAGCTAAAAGCTTTTCATGTATGTACAAAGAAAATACTGAAAATCACCGTTGAGTTTAAATAAGTTAAAATTCAACGTTATTCTTTTCAAGCGAAGGGGTTAGAGGGGCGAATGTTTTAATAAAGGGGACAACGTATTTCTACGCTGTTCAATTTCAATTTCAACTATTTTCATTTCCATCGATGGAACACGAAGTTCAACGCAAAGATAAACAAGACCGTATAGAATAATTTACTCTGAAATGATTTCCAGTGTAATTACTCCGCGGTTAATCTGCCCGCGATTGAATAGATACAGGTGTTTCCATAATCTACGAGATTGTTCCGTTCCATGGAAGTTCTACGTACACATAAACAATGAAGTTCCCCGACAATCCGTGTGCCGGAAAACGCATTGCAATATTTATATGGCAACCTATCCGCGATGGAACGTGGCGAACGTAGAATATCGTGAGTGGTAGAACTAGACATTATTCGATTAAATAAAAGATACGAAACACGAAGGAAGAATGTATATAAAAGGCAATCGGAAGATTCGAATGAATGTACCTAATAGTTTCCTACGAAATTACAGCTGATATCAATTGGACGCCTTCGTGAAATCAAATGTGACTGCTATAAATTATTACAGCAACGAAGACGAAGGTTTATTAATATTTTTTAATACTGTTCAGGGAACTACCGAATTTTCTAACGTCTCTTGTTACTTGGATAATTCTAATTTCATGTATAATATAAAACAGCAACTAATTATTTCGTATTTGCCGGAAATTGAAGTCGATATTTGCTGCGATTTCAGGAGAAACATCTGGCAAAGCTTTGCTCGTTCTACGGTGTACACAGAAACAGAAACACTCGACACGAAGATTTCGTAATGGACGTCTCTACGTTGATGTCGGAGCAAATTGGTTACGCCGGCTGGCCCCTTCCTTAACAAATTCCCAGCCGCTGCATTTTCCCTTTTCAATCTCGTTAATCTTAACTCGTTTCTCGGACAGTTTCAATTGAACGCATTAAATATTTCTTTCGCATTCGCCGGCGACCTGACGTCCCTTTTTAATGCCAACGTTACTCAACTCGCCGTCGGTAGATTTCATTTCCGAGAAAACACGCGATGATTATTCCCAAACGCCGAAACTCGGATTAAAGAATAATTAGCATCGATCCGCATTTATACGTAAGATTAGTTCCGTTCTTTGTCCGGCTGCATCGTTCAGCCCGGTTGTAGCCTCGTTTCTGTGCTGAATAATCGATACCACCGATTAGCATCGCGATGCATTTTCAGTTGGCTAATAAAAACACGAGCATATAAAGCGGAACAATTGTTTCCGATACGAGAAATTTAAAATTCAAAGATGCTAAATGTCTTCCCGATACGGTATTGCCGTCTTTCCCTATGCCAAATCTTCGAGAAGGATTTCTAAGCAATCGTTCTGCACGTCAGTAAATTCTTTAT